AATGCCATACCAAAATATGGTGACCTAGAGACAGTAATGCTAGGTTAGAGTGCCTCACTTATCTACTTTTATACTTTCAGAGCTTTTGTACTTAACAGGTTTTAAACATGTCATGATCTGATTAATTCTGACTGAAAGCTGCAAATCGAAGGACAGTGCTTCAACTTCTTTCTTTTGCAAGGATGGCATAGAGAGAAATGCTTATGTCCCAGGGACCAGATGGCAGGTCATCAAAGAATAATCTGTTGTTACCATGTAAAAGACATGCTGAAAACCTGAACAGGAGAATAAACCCTGCATGGTCCATTGGGTCTTTATTCTGTAGCATTTGAAATTACTTTACCTTTCTTAACCATTTTATTTTTTTCTGACTGAATGTTTGGAAATGACTCAAATTAAAAAATTAGTATTTGGGGGCAGCCAGGTGGCTCAATTTTTAGAGCACATGCTCTTAACAACAAGGTGGCTGGTTTGATTCCCACATGGGATGGTGAGCTGTGCCCCCCCATAACTAGATTGAAAACAGTGACTAAACTTGGAGCTGAGCTGCGCCCTCCACAACTAGATTGAAGGACAACGACTTGACTTGGAGCTGATGGGTCCTGGAAAAAACACACTGTTACCCAATATTAGGGTAATTAAAAAAAAAATTGAATTGTTTTGATTCTTGCCTTCAAAAGGACGAGGAATTTACATTTGCTGGGGAAGACTATAATTCCTGCCCCTCTTCCCTCGTGGGATTCTTTCAAGAATCAAAATGGGAGCATGGAATCACTTTAAAATGATAGAGAAATTCCTTGTTATCCACACAATATTTCTGAAGAATAAGCAAGGGCAGGTACTTTTACCTTTATACTGTAAGATAGATTGACACCCAAGAAATTATAATGAAATCTTAGGGTTTTAGAGGGTGTCCACAGAAGAGCTAAGATGAGTATATACTATCTCACCAGCCCTGAGTTTCATATTTGGGCAAATACAAAATTTCTTCTGTGAACTGTTTAGTCACCTCGGTAACTTAGATTTGAATATATTGGAGTTGCATCTGTGGAAACAGTGGGAGCTCAAGGAACTGGGAAGAGAAAAAGTGGATGGCAGAGCACGCATAAAATTGTTTTTCCACATTGGCTGCCACCTGACTTACTAGAGATTAGGAAGAACACTTCTCCCTTTCTGTAGAGAGGGAACCTGGACCCACAGCTCTCCCGCCTAAAATCAGAAGGCTCCACCCAGCTGGCTGGGAAACTAACAAAGAGGGCGAAAGGCAACCCCAAGTAAAGTGAATTTAAAAGTATCTTGGTGAGATTTGGAGTTGGAATTATAAGATATTCTCATCAGCATGGGTGGTAAATAGAAATTGACTATATTGATTCCATTGCTATTAATTGGAAGTAGGTAGGGAAATCTGTTTAATATGTTGTCATTGTTTTATTTTAGAAAATGTAAGAAAATATTCCTCACCTTCACCGATTCACCCGTACTCTTGGCCTGTCCTCTATCCTAGTTTTCCCACAGGCCCCTTAACACATGGTTGTTCTTAACTGCAGGGTCTCTGGGGATGGCAGCTGTACTGGTTACAGAAGGGATATGGTAGAGGTTACAGTGGTGGGCCTAGTAACTAATTGAAGTTTTTCTAAAGCAAAAATCTGGTGCTATTTTCATTGCTCTGCTGGTCATCTTAATGAGCTCCTTGAAGGCAGATAGTGCTTTACTTGTCTTTGTGAGCTGAATGTCTGTTTAGCTATGTCCCTAGGTGACCATGATCAGTCAAGACCCAGAGAAGAGTGTAATTCATCGACAGAACCTGCAGCAAATGACTTGCTTCCTTGTACTCATAGATTTTTTTAAAGCTGTCATAAATCTTTTACCTTTCCTTTTTTTGTACCCTTCTTTCTGTTATGTAACCACAGAAAGTTTTTACTCACTTATAGATGGCTTATCTTTCTAAAGCACAGCTCTGATAGTGTGTCTCTTACATTGTGTTTAGTTTTGTTTTTAAATCATCTGGAGCAAAAATTTCATCCCAGTTTGGTTTGGTGCCATCTAGCACAATCCTTGGCCTCAATTCTCATCCTCCATCAATACATTGCCTGGTAATGCCAAAGCATTTCAGCACCACCCGAAGAAGAAACCATTAGAAAAGTATATCAACTGCCAAAGGTTATGCCAATACTTGAAAATTACATCAAACAGTCCAAAATATTTTATTTTATTTTACATATATATATATTTTTTCTTTTTTTAGCTGAGCCATCCTGCCACCTGTTGGCAGCTCAGCGGCAGCTCAGCTCAGGCTGGGCATCGAACTGCTGTTGCTCAGAGCTCAAACTCTTGAGCGAGCTCTTAACCAACTGAGCCACTCGACCAGCCCCAAAATATTTTAAATATTGAATTATTTATCTTTCAAGATTTTGTATAATTTACATAGTTGATTAAAAATTTTGACTCTGTATTAAAAGTCAGTGGTTTTGTTTAATAAACAATACACTAAAGAAAACAGAAGTTATTACCCGAAATGTAAACAGCATTTGATAATGTAAAAAAGCATAAGTTATTATCATAATATCTGAGATGCCAGTACCATGAGGTTTTTCAGATCTTCAGTGAAGCAAATTTAGAGATGAGGGTACTTTTGAGGATGGATTGATGTATATTTACTTATAAATAAATAAAATCTTCATCTAGCACTTTAAGTAGAAAGCAGCTTTTTATTGCTTTTTTTTTTTTAGAGTTAAATAAGGACTCCACACACAACTGTTTCATAAATACATAGATTTTTGTGTAAAACTTATAAAACTACAGATTTTTTCTGGTGTATATAGTTGTGCTTAAAAATATTACTTTTATCTAAAAACCATTTGCACCAAAAGGACTAAAGAACCCCTGTAGAAATGACTGGTTTTAGATCCAAAGCAGGAAACGTACAAGTTAAGCCCGGAACACTTTGTCATACCAGAAAACAAGGAAGTAATTGAAGACTACTAGGACCTTGTCAAAGAGCTCAGAACCCATCCTGAGTAAGCTCTCTGCAAGCTTATAGCAATAAAGATATAAACCACAGTTGACTGAAACATATCAAATATGTTTAAATCCATGAGTTCATAATTACACGTCAGAAATAAAACTCTCTTGGTCATGTTTGGAAAATATTAGGGAACTACCTCTTTATTTTGAAAACTGGTAAATAAAGGTAAAGAATCAGGCATCTATCCTGCCTTTCTTATATGATTGGTACCTCAGGAGATAGTTCTCTTTATAGACTTATTCCAGCTAATAAATCAAGAATAAATAATAGAATGTTACTTTGAAGTATCTAAAGAATTGTTGGATCTAGGCAAATACCACCAATGGCTTTTAAAAAAATCACAAAAGGAGTCCATCAGACTTGATGTACTGAACCGACCGGCGGAAGTTCAAGCACTGCACAAAGTAGTCTTGCCCCTCCCCCCACTAGAGCTGGATTGGATTTGGCCTCTAGATGGAATTACCAGTGTGCAGGAATAGGGGACAGAGGAATATGTTAAATCACACCAATGGGATGCAGTGAGTAAAATCCAGATTGTGGAAACTCTACAAGACAACCCAGTTCCTTTAACAACAATAAAAAAATTGCAAGGGAAATATTAGAAATGGAGGAGAAACCTATAGATAAAAGAAACTGAAAGTACCTATCAAAGAATCGCAGTATATGAAGCTTATTTGTATCCAGATTCAAGCAAACCAAAACAATATTATGAGATATTATAATACATAGTTGACGATATTAAGAAATTGTTTTTAGTTTTAGGTGTGATAATACTATTATGTTTTTCATGTCCTTATCTTTTAGAGACACTGAAATATTTATAGGTGAAGTCATGTGATGCATGGCATTTACTTTAAAATAATCTGGCTTGGGGAATGGAGAATTGGGGGAGGAAGTGTTGGTGGGAGTATAAATGAAATAAGATTGCCCAAGTATTGATAAGTGTTGAAGCCAAGGAGTAAATACAACTGATTTGTTCTGTTCTCTTTTCTTTTGCTTGTATCAGAAAATGTCCAAAATAAAAGCATATGTGTGTGTGTGTGTGTGTGTGACACACAGACACATACATACACATATAAATACATATATACGGTGGTGTATCATATATATCATATGTATGATATATGGTATGATATATATACCATACATGATGATGATAAAGTGAAGGGGGAAGGTGGTAGGAGGTTTCAAGGAGCAAAATATATGAGGCCTTCCTTACAGAGCATGGTAAAGCATGTAAGATGAGCAGCCATTGGAGGGTTTTGAACTAAGGAGAGAAAGGATCTGGTTCATGCCAATCGGATCACTGTGCCTGTTGTGTTGAGACTAAGTAGTGGGGGTGAGGGTGCAAGCTGAGAGAGCATGAAGAGCTATCGCAAAACACTAGGTGAGAGTTAACGGAAGTTTGGATCCAGGTAGCAGCCTCCGAAAATACTTCGAAGGTAGAGCCAGTAGGATTTGCTGATGAGCTGGATGTAGTGGTGAGGGAAAGAGAAAAGGCAAGAATGATAGTGTTTTTTAGCCTGAGTAACTGGATACAGTGGAGCTGCCATTTATATCTCCAAAGATGAGCAGATGGCTGTTTGCAAGTAATGAAAGTACTGTGAGATCATGTGTAAAGCTAAAAGATTGCTCTAGTGTGCAATGTTACAGACTTGATAACTTTTTAAAATCACAAATAGACTTAAAGATGAAAGTGAGACTAAATTGCAGGGTAAGTTAGGAATCTCAGAAACGGAAGAACATTTGAGTCCAGTTGAGGGAGATGTAAAATGGTACTGCATGAGCAATATCTGCAGTTTAATCATATCATGGCATATGTGTAGAATAAAGAGAAAGAAGAAAGGGCCTACCCGAAGTAAGACTTTTACATCCCTTAGAGTTCTGCCTGGGATCACTACCTTGAATAGGTGTCTTTTGTTTCTGAGTTAATTTTTTTCCTGTAGGTAAATAAACATGTTTCGTTTTTTTCTAGCTGGGGAATGGCAGTCAATGTGTATTCTACCTCGATAACCCAAGAGACTATGAGCAGACATGACATCATTGCATGGGTTAATGACATAGTATCTTTAAACTACACAAAAGTGGAACAGCTTTGTTCAGGTAAGAGATTATCTTTTAAGTATTTACCTAAATGTTTACTGTCTGCCATGTGGAATGTGATTTTATGAATCACAGATGATATATTTGGGATAGGAAAAAATATGTATCAGTGTCAATATATAATTAAAGGGGAGAAACTCAGGTGTTACTTAAGAATGTATGGGGGGGGGCCGGCCGAGTGGCTCAGTTGGTTAAGAGCTCGCTCAAGAGTTTGAGCTCTGANGTTCGAGTCCAGCCCGAGCTGAGCAGCCGCTGAGCTGCCAACAGGTAGCAGGATGGCTCAGCTTAAAAAAAAAAAAAAAAAAAAAAAAGAATGTATGGGGGGAAATATGAGCATCTAAGAGCATAGAGCCATCTGGACACATACTATGAACAGTCTCGCTTGAATTGTAATGCCTTCTCACTCTTCCAGCCTCTTCTCTATCATCCCGTCAGCCACTGCCATCTCTTGCTAAATACAGATTGAGTCTTGCAACTCTCATCCTTAAACACCTTCAGTGTTCCATGTCGTCCTTCCTGTAGGATAAAATTCAAACTTTTCTACATGGCTGATAAGGTCCTTTCTGTTCTAGCTACAACCCACCTCCTCAGTTTCATTGTCCACATCTTCCCCCTCTGCCTCAACCCCATAAAATACTTGTTTCCCTAAGGGCTCCTTCCCTTTTGCATCCCATAGCTTTCCTCATGCTCTCTTTGCTGAGGTTTTTCCTTTTCTTTTCATTTATGGTAAAATCTCATTCACACTTTAAAATCTGACTCAGTTGTCACTCCCTCTGTGAAGGATTCCCCAGACTCCCAGGATCCATTTTTCTAAACACTGTTCCCGCCCTTCCAGAATAACACTTGTAACACTGTGTTAGAAGGTCTAACTCCTACTCCCCGGAAGGCACCAAGAGTCCTTGAGGACAGGACTGTATTTTCCTTTTTCTTTTTTTTTCCTGAACACCTGCCGTGCATGATACCATGTCTGGTAGAAAGTAGGTCTGTAGTGAATGAATATTGAGTTAAACTTATTTAAAAAATAAAAGTTTCAACTTCAATAATAAAGTAGAGGCATGTTATAAAAACATGCCACTAATAAAGTCATTCATTCATAGATTAGTGTATCTGTCAAAGACATAAATAATCTTCCTTTGGAAACAGGAAGTCTTTTCTTCTTGTGAACTAATTGGTAAGAGATTTTCTTTCTGGCTCTGACATGAAAATAGTATTAGACAATAGAAAATATTACTGAAATGTACCCAGGTGAAATTCCATGAGACACGATAGATACGTGTACAAAGGAGTCATCGGGTTTATCTGGTGCAGTGATTTGGGGTGTTGTCCTGTCTTTCCCAGTGAGTTAAGTGTAAAAAGATTTTAGCAGTTCAGTCAGAATTTGGGAAGCCCCCAGTAGCCTCTCTCAGGTATGTCTAAGTGCAGTGCCCACCAGTGGATGTGCTCTCCCTTTGCCAGGTCTGGATTTGATTGGAATAGACTAAAGGACTTATTTTCAATACCCCTGACACCTCTTCTCGCGTGATCATTTTTCCCATGAGGAAGACAGTAAGGTTGGCCAGAAACCAGGCATTGCCTCACCCATCCTCTCTGTGCCCAGGCCTCATACATGAAGTCCTGTGGTTTCTGAGGTCAGTAGTGGGTGCTAACTAGCCAGTTCTTTGCCTTTCATTATAAGCTAGAGAAAAGCCAACTTCAACTATGATGCTGTGACAGGTATATATTGTTGGCCTACTGAAATGGCTCTAACAGCTACTGCCAGAAACAATCCCTGTTGCATCTTAATTTCAGATCTCCACTTGATCAAGTTTTTATTGTGCTGTTCTTGCTGTGCATTCTGGAGCTAATATTTTGTTTTTAATATGCTTCCAAAAAAAACGGCGCTAAAACCAAGTTTCTCTATTATCAGTAATTCATTTCTTAACAGCACATACCACCTCATATTGTAACTAATGTATGTCTAACCCACAAAGTGGATGTATGCACATGTGGATAAGAAGGATGGGGTTGGTTATCAAGAAAAAGAGACCCAGATGGAAGAGGATAAGGAAGAGAGCATAGAGAAAATCCCCAGTCATGGTTCTTAAATGTTGAAAGAATCTATGAGGAGCTTCCTGCGCAGTGCACTTGAGTTTTTGTTAGCAAACAAGATGAGAGCAAATCAGAGGGGATTTTTTTAAGATACAGTAATACATTTTTGAGTAATATACATCATTTCCTTGAAGATCTTTCGAATTTCTCACAAAGGCAAATCCAACAAAATTGTAAGCAGCGTTCGTAAAAGATTTTTGCGCAGTTATCTTTAAAAAACATTGGTGTGCATTTTTGCAGCCATTCGTAGCTACACTGCTGTGAAGTGTGGCTTGATGAAACCTGTAGAAACAATTTTGATCACTGATAAACAGATAGCTTCCATTAGGATAACCCACGGGCTTCCTATGTGTAGCCATACAAAGTGTATGGCTCAGAAGAATAAAGGTTCATATGTGCTCCGAAATGTGTGTTTTTGATGGAAAAGCAAAACATTAATCTCCACAGTAGAGAGAACAGGTCTTTTATTTTAGGCAATTGTTTCTTCAAATATAAATTTAGGACCATATGCACTTGTAATCTGGGGAGCTGCTTGAAAATGCAGATTTTTAGGATCCTGGACCTTCTGAAACAGTATCTCTAGGTGTGATGCCCCAAATCTAAATAACTAGCACCCTAAGTGCTTTAGTGCTGCCGCCAGAGCTTGCAGTGCATTTTCAAGAAGCCCCAAACCACTGAAAGTGTAGTTCAATTATCCAAAAATCTATCTGGCACAGTTTTCTTATTCATAATTTAGTCTGTGACTTTGTCTTCAGCAATGGCATTTAGCAGGAGAATGCTATCTTTCTATTTATTTATTTATGAATTTATTTATTTATACCTTTCATTGTTCTGGAAGACATTTACAGCAGCTAGGACAGTGCCGTTCAAATAAGAACAAAACTAATTATTGTTATACCTATGAATAGTCAGGTTTCTTGGATAATATTTTTTCTTCAACTTTTATTTTAATTCCTTTAAATGTTGTTTTTTGTGGGGGTTTTTTAGTAGTATGCTGTGGAAAAGCATACACAAAACATCTTCACATATTTAAACTGATTTTTTTGTTGTTCAATAAAATTATTTCTTACTGTCTTTCCTAAAGACTTATGCTCTAATCCTGGCAGTCCCCCTTCGACGTTGTTTCTTGGATGTTTTTTTTTTCCTATTTGCATTATTTCGTATTTCTTTTTTTATTTCCAGCTAAGAGATCTCCCTCTAGCTAATATGAAAGCTAATTCAGCTTTTCTTTTGCTGTAAAAAGTGCTGAAATACTGTTTCACATTTGTGTTCCATTTTCTTCAGAATATTCTGCCTTTATGTCACATCTCGTTTGTTTTACATGAGCACTTTAAAAGCTCTTTAAAGCAAAAAATGGTGTGAGATACATTGCAGTTAATTGTAAAACAATGAAAATGATTCACTCACTCTTACCTCCTGTTCAGATAACAAGGATGTAACCTTTATCCCAAGAATGTAACCTTATGAAAATTTTCTTTGAACATTAAATCTGGGTCATGTAATCATATTTTTATTTGGTTTGCATTCATTCAATTTCTCATGAAAAGCAAATTCAAGTAAAAAATATGGGCTGTATAATTGGAGAGTAGGTTATCAATGGATCCAAATACTACCTGTAATACGACAGTATACTGCTTACCTAAATCTCTTCTGAAAATAAGTAATATTTGTAGATTTCCCATAATGGAATGGGAGGTCAAACCCCATAAAATATCAGATTAGTTCTGCTTAAAAATATTTTATGTTCTCAGTTGTTTATACAATTTATAGGACTTTTTGCAGAGTAAGGAGATGGTTTGTTTTTACTTTAGTACCAGCTCAAACCAGTTTACTGGATATTTTATAAGGTATTCAAGAGGGAGAATGGGCAGGTAGGCACTAAAAATCCCTAAAAACAGCTTTAGCAGCATGAGATACTGTTTTGGAAGCGCTAGGAAAGACAGCTGGTTACATGGAGAGGAAGAACAAAAAGAAACAGGGAGAGGAGTGTGTGATGGGAGTGGGAGAGACATCATTTACTTTTCCTCTTCCCCCCGCACCCCCTGCCCTAACATAGCCAGTCTCCTTTGAAACTTTTTCCCATGTGCATATCCTGTGTCCCAGTCCTCTCCCCTAGGCTGGGATTAAGCAGCAGAGCTATTGGGTCCATTCCTGGGTCATTGCCGGGACTTGGCCAGCTGCGCACCTAATAGCAATTCCCCCATGCCTCAGAAGGCTACTTCAGCTTGCCCGTTCCTCTGTGTGCAGCCTTCCCTTCCTCCTTCCCACGCATCCCTCAGGCCAAGCCAACGACGGACTTCTTACAGATGCTGAGATACAGTCCACGTGTCAGGTGGGCACTGCCTGTACTGTTGCTGTATTGGTTAACAGCTCGGTTATTTTCCGGAGCATTTTAGTGTTTTAAAAAACTGTATTTCAAATTAAACCTTCTTTTAAGATGGTAGGTATGTTGTTGATTTTTTTTTTTTTAAAGAACAAAATGATCAGGATTTGATTCAATTTCAATTTGTGCTTCTCCAGATTGTTCCAAGCTTTGTCTGAGATCAAGTTTCCAGTATTTTCTTCCAGGAAAACTTCTGAATCTGATCGAATTGTAGTCATGATAGTCATATTTACAACTCTGGGTCCTTGAAGGCTCCCTGAAAGGGCCTAGGCTTTACAGTAATTATCTAAGAATCACAGAAGTGTGGCTGTCAGCCGTGCTGGGCACTTGTAGAACAGGTGCTCTGGGCCGAGGAGAGCATTCTTGTCACCATTTTTATTGCAATCTGGGCCTATTAAATAGGTTGGTCCCATCTTAGTGTTGTGTCCCTATGCCTTCTTTTTCTGCCTGCAGAGACCTCTGTCAGGAGGACAGGTTAGTGATGAAATCAGCTCAGAGTCTAAATTTAGTAGACCTTTTCTCGTTGGCTCTCTTGAACTAAAACCAAGTAAGGATATTTCCTCAGTATCTGTAAGCTCAAGAGCT